TAATGACATCCCTTTGACACTTCTGGAGGTGGTTATAACTCTGGCAGCAAAGGGTTTAAACTTTGTATGTGTAGTGTTTCATAGTAAAATGCTGCAAATAGAGACTCCAGGAACCATGACCACTTCAAATTACTGATGCGGTCATGATGGTTGAAGTAACTCTTTATGGTAAGCAGAAATCTAACAAGAATATAAATTATTTTAGCTGCTGTTAATTTGAAGTTCAGTAAATCCACCTAGTAAACTTCAGTAAGTAGATTTGTTGAACTTCAAGCTAGATAGAATTACACAGCATGATGAAGTATTAGGTATCGTTCAGATTAAAAAAAGTAAAATTTTGATCATCCACAACATTAAAACCACCAGTCTATTGTGTAAATCCCCCTTTGTACTGCCAAAACAGCTCTAATGTTTTGGGGCATGGACTCCACAAGAGTTGTGAGGTGAGGCCTTCATGGGTCAAATTGGTTGTTCCAGCGCATCCGACAGATGCTCAATCAGATTTAGATATGGAGAATATGATAGTAACACCTTGAACTCTTTGTCATGCTCCTCAAACCATTCTTGGACAAACAAGAAAAAAAACAACAGAAAATAAAACTGTGTACTGGAAAATATAAAGGCTGTTTTAGGAACAAACGTAGTCAAACACGCCAAAGTCAGGATTACAGATTGGAACAGGTTGATGAACAAGCCAAGGAAGTGTAAACATTAGATGACTCTTTACAGGAAGTGTTTAGGAAGGCTGTGTAAGTCACATGCAGGGAGGTGTGACTAGGTCAGCATACACAACATGCCTAAAATCCTAAATGGCAAAGAACTGAGCAGTGAGACTGCAGGGGAATGATATATACACCAAAAATGCTTGATTAAGCTAACGTTGTTTATTAAGCTAAAGCAAGGTCTGGTATACAAATCAGAATGCTTGATTAAGCTAAAGCCACACACAGGGTAGATATACAATCTAGGACTAATACACATATACGGAAGATCAAGAATCGTCAAAGGATAGGTTGGGTATAAAACTATGAAAAAAGAGCAGGACATAAATATCACTAGGATTCTAGAACCACAAAAGGGCCCGAACAGTCAGGAAACCCTCCAAACATCACAGTATCTTATTGGCTATTGCTTACTGGCAGCAATCAAGTCAGAAAGGTAGCACCTGTGATATCCACAGGTGCCCCACAAAAACAAGCAATCATAAAATCAAGTGATTAAGAAATAAAACAGATAACCATCTAGAATGACCCCAGGACATCAGGTTCCACAGTGGCAAGCTGTGCACCAGTATCAACTGTGAACTATGGGTTCAAGTTCCTCCAGAGGTAGGTTTCCTGACATGGTGGACAGTGGTCATCATGGGCACTCTGACTGGTCAGCGCTATGCAGCCCCATATAAAGCAAATTGCAATGCACTGTGTGTTCTAACACCTTAATATAGTATCAACAAAAAAAGGTGTGCTATACCTTTAAATCTTAAAATAGTGAATAGTTCGCTGATAAATAAAGGGCTATAAACATATTTAATAAAGTTCCACACGTGCTGTGCAATATTGTTAATACTCAGTACAATTTCTTTTTAAAAAAGTGCAACAAATACTTGTGCAATTTTTGTGTAAAGTGAATCACACTTTACTCACTTACACTGGACACAAAATGGGTATGTACTTAAAAGAGAAAATAATAAAAGCATATAGAGTAGTACTGTTACATATAATATTATATATGTGCAAATGTAATGCCACTCACAAGCCAGGAGCAAGTAGGCTCAGACTGACAGTGCTTATCTCCACCTCCAATGTGGTGTAAGTAAATTGGTGGACCCAAG